TTGAAGACATTTCGCTTGTCATCTAACTAGCTTTCATCTGACAAGCTTTCTTGCTAGTCGGATGACAAGTGAAACGTCTTCAAGGACAAATACAGCAAATCCAGTTGCCTTGATTTATTTTTTACAGATATACCATGACCTGGATAAATGAGAACCTTCACAGACTGTGTACTCCCCCTCCCTCTCCTAGTCTTAGTGCTGTTGTAGAGGGCACTACAAGTGGCTAAAAACAAGTTAGTTTCAGACATTTTGTCTGATCGCATTTAAAATACATGTAAAAGTTTTTTAACTAGAAAATATAAATGCATTCATGTGTTTTTTCTAACATGTGCCTGGAGATCAGATGTGACATCACCCTTTTAAAATTCAATGCCATTGTAAACACAAGTGCAGTGCCTACATTTTCTATTCATTTATTGGTGTATTATACTTTATAGATAGAGTGCAACCTTCTCCAACACTGCAGCTATGTGTATGTGGAAGGTAGTTTACACTGTAAGTCCCTTAGGGACAAGGTAGAGTTTAGTGCCTGTAGAGTTCAGTACTGTGTTGAATCCAATAATAAATAATAAAATAAACACATATGTTGTTTAGGATTTATTTTCTTTTGTTTATCATAAAAAAAACAATTGCGAGGAAAAGAAACAAACATCAAAATAAAAAAATACAACTAAACAATATATACAATATATACCGTGATCAAATAGAGACACAAACAAAAGTGAGGCTAATAACAGAAAAATATCAGGTCTCATCTATCAAAGTCTTAACAAAGAAAATTGTAATTTATTTTGGCGAATGCATTGTAGGGATGAAGGAAACGCACAATTGACTTTCTTCTAATGCAACAGCACCACCCAGTGTCTATAATATTGATCTCATAAGAGGAAATGCCCAAGATATCATAAAAACATCATAAACCACAAGTCATCTGCTTAAATACAATTGTAATTGGGAAAATAATTATTCTGAATAATTCAAATCTGATCTGCAAAGTATATGGTCAAATCAGAACTATGAAACACAGATACTGTATCTCAAACAGCACAATTAAATACAAATCCTTGCTAATCTAATATTAATTATAATTGAATGCGAAAAACACATAACCAAAATATGTAAATAAAAGGGATAGAACTAGAAATTTCCAGTCAACATGATAAAATCCCTCCCCTCCTTCAGACAACAACCAGAAAACCACAGTGGACTTACTTGGCACCTTGCAGCCAATCAAGGTAAGCATCAGACACCATATTAACCTCTTTTTTAGCCCACTGACCTGTCTGTATATGTGTATAAATAAACCTAAACCATTTTACCATGCGATATAATAAGAAACAAAAACATTAAACCTTTTTAAAGCAACTGATAACCTGGTAGAGTTTGTAACCCTATCCAAGGCTAACACTATCCAAGGCTAAAAAGAGTTTTAGTTTGAGATGGTACCTAAAGTCTCCTTCCTGGTAGAGAGAAGGAAAGGAGGCAGGAGGGGTCTGGGTCAGACAACTGACAATAAAAGCTTGCATATCACTGAGCCCTGTGATTTAGGGCAATTAACAGGAAACCTGAAGTGATGCCCATAAACCTGGAGATGTCGACTATGACACAGAGGCACCAATTCTGAGTACCACAGATTCCCTTTTAAGCAGAGCTAGATTCAAATCGTAAAGTTTTGCTCGAATGGATAAATTAAGTCCTCATTCACACACAACCCAAGAGCAAAATGGTATATTGCGTATCTACGCGTATGTATATGCATATAAGCTTGCACTATATGCAATCCCAGAATGCATCATTCGTAATAAAAATTGTTATGAGCTGTACGTGCATACGTGCGTATACACGCGTAAAATACGTTGCCCGGACGCACCTCGGTTCCATCCTGTTTTTGCCCATTTTTACGCTACGCAAATATAAGGCTCCATACGCAGCTATGTGTATTGAGCCTTTTTTTTGCATATGGGACAATGCGCGCGTACACAGATATATGCAGCGTTATTGTAGGGCAGTGCGAATGAGGCCTAAGAGCAAAAGAAATACCTTTGCTGATGAAAATGCTGCTCAGTGTTACACCTACACTGCTTTGTGTTCCATCCAGCGCTGGTCACATAACTCTGGTAATATAATTTTTGCAGATGGGAAAGATAGATCAATCTGAATTCTGATACTCCCCTCTAAAAGAAATAACATGACCAAATGTCTATTTTTTTGATTATGTGAGCAATGCTGGAGGAGGGGTTGTCACTAATCGCGTATAAGATGGGATCGTCCCAGGTTTCAGTGCAACAAACTGCACCCTGTATTGATTTACAATGGGACACAGCAGTTTGTCCAGTATTTAATGGTCCCTTACATCAGCATGCACTTCCCTGGTGCAGGCAGGTGTGGCATCATTCGTTGCTATGGTGCCATTGGCCAGCCTGTGAACCATGGAAATGCATGACACTAATCGAGGGCGGGCAGCACCTATTGTGATCCTCAGGAGGATGGAATGAAGCCTCCCACCAGACCGGCTCTGCCTCTCACCCTCTTCCAATCTGCCACACCAATAGCCACGCTGTGCCAAAGATGTGTAAGCTAGGACAGTGAAGTGAACGGGGGTTCTGATGTAAAGTGGACCCTCATGTGAAGGGGTGAAAGCGGTAAAGGGGGCTCCTGATGTCAAGGGGAACTCCTGTTGTAAAGAGGAGACTCT